TACTAGAAATACCACACTAAGCCTCACTTCTGTCTCACAGTTGCCTGGAAGATGCTCTCTAGCTCTGGAGTCATCAGATATTCTGCCCCACACTCAGGAAGGAATACAGAGAGGAGCCAGGAAGAATTTGAGCATCCCATTTCCACGGGGTGGCCCATGAGCATCCCATTTCCACAGGGTGGTCCGTGATTCCTTGGCTTAAGCATTAAAGAATGGTTCAGTCTGTGTTTACGGGTCTGAAGACTGCCCAGTCACAGAAAGACAGTCATCAAATGTACTGTGGCCTCTGCTGTTAGTCTGGATCTATGGCAGAGGTTCACAACCGGTGAGTGGCCACCCCTTTGACAATCTTCTATCTCCAAAACACAGTTGCATTATGATTCATAACAGTAGCAAAATCACAATTATGAAGTAGCAGAGAAACTAGTTTTATTATTGGGGTCACCCAACATGAAGAGCTGTATTAAAGGGGTGCAGCTTTAGGAAGGTTGAGAACCACTGGTCTGTGTGTGTAAAGAATCAGGTTACATAAAGAAATGAATGAAATGTGCTGTGGTTTCTCTCCTTAGTCTGTCTCTTCATTTAGGGACTCCACCACACTTTCCCCTACATCATGAGCAAAGAAAAAATACCAGGGAATGAGCTAAAGTACATTAAGAAGACTGTACTTGGAAATGGAAGAAGGGTAAATATGTCGAACAGAGATGTTCCCTCTCTTGCACATTACATTCAGTTTTGAACACTCAATGGAAAAAGAAAACAGTGAACACTCAGGTGGATCACAACACCATTTCCTGAAATCCAGATCTTATTTAGAAGAGGAATGCTTTATGAATACTAACAAAACAGAAGTCAGCATGCCACCACAGAATTTCAAAGTTGTGGAAGAGGACAAAAAGACCTCTTTAGACCTGTAGAGATGGCTCATAAGCTAAGAGATGATTTTAAATATACTGAGTAATATAAATCAGGATTTGAACTTGGCATTGGAATGCATTGCTGCTCTTCCAGAGGCCTGGGGTTCAATTCCCAGCACCCACATGGTAGTTCACAACTCTTTCCATCCAATCCCAGAGGCTCTGACACCTTCTTCTGGCCTCCAATTGTACTAGGTACACACATAGTACACATACCATGTATAGATGCCAGTAAAACACCCACCCATATACGTAACAGGGTATGTGTGGTGTAAGGGGGCATTCCTGATATCTATTTTCTTTGCCTCAAAGCATGTTCATTTCCTCGACTGCCTCATTTTAAGGAAAGCAAGAGTCGACTGCTAAAAAGTCACTTTACAGGATGATTTTAAGTATACTGAGAAATACAAAATGGGAATTTGAACTTGGCATTGGGATGCACTTGACCAGAGTGGTGTTTTTAAAGTCTATCAAATATGGACTTGCTCACAGAGGATTATGCTGTGGTAGATCATTCCAGAAGTCTGCTCTGTTCAGGAAGGGACCGATGGAGAGTGCAGAGATCACAGACACAGTATGTATTTGTGGTTCGTGGAGACTGGAATCTAGCAGTTCCCAAACTTGAGCAGGCAGCTGACCTACCAGGAGCATTTGTGAAAATGAGTGCTGCTGAGCCCACCACAGAGCTATGATTCAGCACCTGGATGGGGATGAGAGCACAATGCTCAACAATGTCCAGATGCTGCTTCTGTGACCACCACACTTTGAGAATTAATCTTTTGTCCCACTATGTGCAACGAAGACCCTTGAACCCTTTACCATCACAGAAACAGGGCTTTCCAGAAGTCCTTAGAAATGTCAGGTTCTGATGCTGATCAGCTTGTGTGTCCATGGGCAAAGAGAGCCTGTTGTAGAATATTATTGTAAGGTGTGTTACATGTGTCTATGTTGTAGAGTATTTGCTTAATGATGCAAAGATGTGTTGCATCCTTTTATATTACATTTGTTTAACTCGGTGAGGCGGTGTTACTTTGCCTGTCTAAAACACCTGATTGGTCTAATAATGCACTGAGTGACAGCAAGGCAGAAGAAAGGATAGAAGGGGCTGGCAGGCAGAGAGAATAAATAGAAGGAGAAAAAGAGAGAATGAGAAGGAGCAGGAAAAGGAGGAGGACATCCAGGGTCAGCCATACAGCTACACAGAAAGTCACGGAGTAAGAAGTAAAGAAAAAGTATAAAGAAGCAAAGAAAGGTTAAAGGCCCGGAGGCAAAAAAAATAGTTGGGGGATAATTTAAATTAAGAAAAGCTGACAAGAAATAAGCCAAGGTAAGGCCAGGTATTCATAAGGAAGAATAAGCCTCAGTGTGTGGTTTATTTGGGAGCTGGGTATTGGGCCTCTAAAATAGTAAAGAGCCCAAAGAATAAAACACCACCAACAACAAGAGCCACTGATATCCCAGTGAATACGAGAAGATGAGATGGCCATAAGGATGCTGTCCCCACTTGGTTAAAACAGATAGAATTCTAAGCTCCAGCAAGGTTCACATCCAGATACCGGATGGAAAAGAAAGTTTATTGAGAAAACAATGCAAATAAATATAGCAGGTCTCATCTCCTTTGTCCACACACAGCTGAGATGTTAAGTCCCCAGACAGTAGGGAAGGAAGAGAGCTGGTGTGTGCATCTCACGAACAGCCTGGCATTTGTGGAAGAAATGCAAAGTTTTCAGGATAAATGCTGTGAAATACAAGGAATATCAAAGGGGAGGAAAGCAAAAGAACAAAGAGGTTCTCTCTTAAGTCAGCTTTTACATTTTTATTAATTAATTGTGTGGTGTGTGTGTGTGAGAGAGAGAGAGAGAGAGAGAGAGAGAGAGAGAGAGAAACAGAGAGAGAGGGGGGAGGGAAGGAGGGAGGGAGGGAGAGAGGAAAGAAGGGAAGGAGGGAGGGAGGGAGAACGTGAGTGTATACTGCATATCTATATGTAGAGGTCAGAGAATTCTCTCCTCTGGACCTTATGTAGACTGTGGGCATTGAGCTCAATCTCCCAAGCTTGCCCTGCAAAGTACTTTTACCTGTTAAATCTCTCATCAGTTCCTATTGATTTTTTTGTTTTTGAGATAAAACCTAGCACTGTAGTAGTTCAGGATGGCCTTGAACTCCTGTTCTTACTACTGCAACCTACAAAGTCCCAGAATTTTTAAAGGTAATGTGCCATTACACCCAGCTAGAAGAAAGTTTTGGTTTGTATTTTTTTGTTTTTTCTATGCTCTTGACTTTTGAAATTCAGGGACAGCCTAGAGTCTCGAGAGTGGTAAGCAAGCATTCTCTGACTGAGTCACACCATGTGTCCAACCTCACTTTATTTTGTTGGGATTCTTTGTATTGGGGACAAGGTCTCACTATGTAGCTCTGGCTGGCCTAGAACTCAATATATAAAGTCATATTGGCCTCAAACTCACAGAGATCCTCCTGCCCCCACCTTCAGAATATTTGCTCACACCTAGGTAATAGATTTGTTTTTATTTTATTGACCTAAAAATATTTTTCTTTTTTTATTATTTATTTTTAAATTTAAATTTAAATTAGAAACAAGGTTGCTTCACAAGTCAGTTCCAGGTCCCTCTCTGTTTCCCTCCCCTCCTCCCGTGCCCTCCCCCCAACCCCCTCCCCAATATCCCCTCATTTCCCCAGGGAGGGTGAAGCCCTCCTTGGGGGTGTCCATAGTCTGTCATTTCATCCAGGGCAGGGCCTAGACCCTCCCCCAAGAGTTCAGGGTGAGAGTGTACCTCACATTGTTGGATGGGAGTCCAAAGTCCATTTGTATACCCGGGATAAATACTGATCTACTGACTTAAAAATACTTTATGAAATGTATTTTGATCATACCCTTTCCACTCCCTCAGCTCTTCCCATATTCTCTGCCCCTCAACCAGTCTCCTGGCCACCGAACTCCATGTTCTCTTTCTCTCTCCCTCCGTTTCTGTATCTGTCTCTGTCTTGTCTCGTCACTCTCTCTCTCTCTCTCTCTCTCTCTCTCTCTCTCTCTCTCTCTCTCTCTCATTCTTTCAATCCCCTACAAAATCAAAACACAGCCAAACAAAAAGAAAAAAAGGAAGCAAACAAAAGAATCAAACAAAAATCATGGAGTCTGAGCCAGGCGGTGGTGGCACACACCTTTAATCCCAGCAGAAGCAGGCAGATCACTGTGAGTTTGAAGCCGGGCTGGACCAACAGCCTCCAAAACAATACAGAGAAACCCTGTCTCATAAACCCCCCCCAAAAAAATCATGGAGTCTGTTTTGTGTTCACTGACTACTCCTGAACATGGGGCCTGCCCTGGGCCATAGTTAATATGCCCAGTGTCCTCCTCTAAAGAAAACTGATTGCCCCTCTCCCAGCAGGTACCAATTGCAAATACCTCTTGGTTAGGAATGGGTATTTGTACCCGCTTTCCTTTCTCGGTGCTGGGACATTTTCTGACTTGAACTTGGAGAGTTCTTGGGTATGCCGTCATAGTCTGTTGCACTCATATGTGCATTAGCCCTTTTGTGTCTCAAAGACAAATTTTCCTTGGCGTTGTCCCCCAACTCAGGCTCTCTAATTCTTTCCATCTCCTTTTTCACAGAGATCCCTGAGACTGGAGGGGTGGGAGCTGACAAAGACATCCTATTTAGAGCTGAGCCCACAAGTGGGAATTCATGTCTGCTACTAGAAACCTGGTCAAAAGCCATGGCTGATGATGTCACATGCCTCAGATGGTCCTACTATTGTTTTGCCAAATGGTCATGCTGTCAAACTGCCTTCTAAATATTCGGGTTATGCCTGTGCTCCAAAGAAACTGAGGTCAGTTTTCTTAATAATTCTAATAAAAAAACAATGGTTTCCACCTGATCTAGTGGGGCAGGCATCTAACTACAGCCAAGTCTGACTGTGACTCAGTTTCTTACAGTTGTGCAGGGTGTTTCACACAGAACAAAGCCTTGGTTCTTCCCAAGAGCCCTAAGTGAGCTGGAAACTGAGCCACTGCCTCAAGAGAAGAAGATTTTATTAAAATTCAAAGAAAAAATCAAGCTGAGATGATTTAGAAAGCATTCTGCATTTATTGAACAAACACTGCTAAAGACATTTCAACAAACCGTGTGTTTAAAAAGTAATAAATAGCCATTGTGCTTACTTCTCAAACTTGTCAGACTGTCTTCATTTTATTTTCCTGAACAAACTGAATTTCTGTACTGCTCATCCCCAGCCAGTTAATAAATACATCACCCTAAAAAGTGCTGTGGTATTAAATTTACAGCAGATAAAATATGGATGAAGTTGCTGGGCCTCAGGTACGTCAAGTGTGATTTAATATCTCGCAGTCTTCTTATGAAGACTAAAAGATTACCCGGCTGCCTCCACTGCCAGAGAGCGACCTCTGCCCCCAAGTAACAGCCACTCAGCAAATAGCACCAAATGAAGACAGAGAATAACATATAGATTTGCCATAAGAAAAAATTGATCGCAATCCATATATCAAATCTGCTGATCAGAGCCCAGGAGAAATGGCTCTCAGCTATTCATATGCAATGGCAGAATGCTGGCTAGAAACCTTTTTAAAGGTGCTGAGATTGTCTTGTTAATTCTGTACCTTATTACCTTATCATTATCTGCCCTTATTTTTTCATCTTTGTTGCTGGGGATGGAACCCAAGGCCTTGCATGCTAGGCGAGTTCTCTGCCACACAGCCACACAGTCAGCCCCTACTGCTTGCCCTTTTTAGCATTGTAATAAATCCCCTTAGAGGAAAAGCTTCTTTGACTGCATGTCTCCATGGCCATCCCCCCTGTCTGTAGAAGCTGTACCCTCTTGGAGCATCTTGGAGACCCGAAGCATCTTGTAGATAAAGACATTGTTCCTTGGGGGAATTTCTCCTCCATCTGACTTGATTTATACCTTTTTTTAAAAGTTCTGTCTAAAATGTTTTTTTAATCTCTAAGGAAAACATTTGTTAGCACAAAAAATAAGTTCTCCTGCTTAACATTTTGCCATCCAGAATGCCCGGTGACTAAGAGAGCTCTGTGCACTTCAAAGGTAGGAGAAGGATGAGTTTTAAAACAAGAGCAAAAAATGAAGCCAATTGCCACTGAGCTGTTTATATTTCAAACGTATAATTGTGGAGTTAGTAAGAGCCATGTATAAATCCTCAAAGTGTGGACTGCAGTGGGCCTTCCTCTAAAGATTGCAGTGCAATTAAAGCAGCTTTTCCTTTAACTGTGGAAGCAAGAGAAGTGTCCCAAGGGCTCCTGGTACCCTCTGTGTTCCAAGGCAGCACACTGCTGCTGCTAATTTAGAAGGAGGGGTGAGGGGAACCTCTTCATGGGCCTTAGTAAACAAAAAAGCTTTCCCCAAAGCTTTCCCCAAATGTGACTGCTTCCTGGACTGGGTGTATGTATGTATGTATGTATGTATGTATGTATGTATGTATGTTTGTTTGTCTTGCACAGGTCGCTTTGTGCTCCTTTGTGAAAGTTTTTTGGGCTAGTGGAGGTTGGAGACAAGTCTGTTTACTTGAGATTTCTTCAGTGCTGAACACTGAACCTTTGACATTAGCAGAAGGGGCTACCCAACAGCTCTAATTCTTAAAACCCATGAATTGAGGGAAAATAAAATGAGACGGGCCTGTGGAAAGTGCTTGAGCAAATTTGTGATGAGAACTCTCTAACCACGGGGCTAGATTGGGCTTCCCTGTTTCCCACGGACCAATATGTCTCTACTGGGTCCTATGGAAGAGCTGTCCTCATCACAATTGACCAAGGCAAGGCTGCAAAATCGAGTGACTGGGTGGCATGGTGAGCTAGTGTGCTCATCTTTGCTCCTGGAAGAATAAGGACAGAGTCCTTTGTTTGCCTCTGCCCTGGAGGTCAGCTGAGGAGGGGGTGGGGAAAAAGGGAGAGAGGCAGGGTCTTTTTCTTTTTTTGAAGTATGAATATGCATTGTGAACATAGGAGAATCGGAACCAATGACAAAATGTTCAAGAATGCTTAGGGATGAGTAATTTGGAAGATAACAAAGCTTTGAACCCCATGGAACAACAGTTCCTCCTGCAGTATTTCCCAAACGGTCCAGACCAGAAGCAGAAGACCAGAAGGTGATGTCCTGACTTTGAGAAATGTAGTTTCTAAAGGCTGATTTCATTTCATCTGTCATCTTGTTTTAGTGCATTTAGTGGGGGTGGTGTCTACATGTATATCCATGTCAGAGGTCAGCCTTGGATACCCTTCCATGGGAATCACCCACACTGTTTCGAAACAGAGTCTCTCACTGGAACCAGAGGCTTAGGGATTTGTCTCAAGAGCAGACTGCCTCTGCTTCTCCAATGTTGGAATTATGTGGACTTGTGCCACAGGTTTTTTTACATGGATTAAGGGAATTGAACTCAGGTCTCCGTGCTTTCAAAATGAGCACTTTACCAACTGGATTCCACCACAGTTCACTATTGTATTTTTTGCTGAATTCCCATGCCTCACCTAACTTGTAGATCATTCTGTTGCCTGTTCTTCAATACCTTTTTAGAAACACCAGCAAATCAGGCCATTGAGATGCACCAGGGGTAAAAGTCCCTGCCTTGCAAGCCTGAGCCCCCGTGTTCCATGCCCTGAACCCCAGTGCAAGGAGAGAAGCCAATTCCTAAAAGTTCTTCCCTGAGCTCCACACTCGAAATGTAATTGATGTGCATGTGTATGCACACACACATAATAATTATTTTTAAATTTATATTTAAAATTATAAATATTAGCAAATCATCCCCCAACAGGGATTTCTGCCCACCTTGCCCTGCCAGAAAGCACCCCACCTAAGACCACCACCAAGGGGGTCTCCAAAGGACAGTCTTCCATTTTCCTTTACAATATGCTAGGAAGGTCAACTTAGGAGTAACAGCCAGGAGAATTCTACACTGCATGTGCAGAACTGGCTTTGGGGAGATAAACGTGACACACTGGAAGTGATCCCACAGTAATTCATTAGCATTTCAAAACCACTAGTAAGTGGCCATTTATTTTCTATTTTTTAAAAGCTAACAATACCATTAATTATCCCTTTTATGAATCCTGGTAATGGCTGTTTACTTGCCATAAATTAATATGACACTGTCAGGGACCTAGCACCCCTGCATGTTGCAGCATTTGTGCCTGGAACACGCCGCAAAGCACATCTCCGCCATTTGCTCACAAGATGATTAGTGCCACACAAAATCTTGCGGCTTCAGGTGCTTCAGGTGACCAGGCTCGCTTTTCCCTGCGTCGTTTTCCTCCTGATGGAAGCTCTTCCTGACAGTGTGTCCACATGGCATCAAGGAGCTGAGAGAAGATGTCACTCTCACTCTCCCAATCAAGGCAGTCACTAGTCCTGTAATGTCCAATTAAGTTGCAAAGCATGGTTTATTGCTGAAGTCAATTTAATTCATTTTGGTTTTTTAATTCAAATTAAAGCCAAGGTCACTTCCTGATGTCCTTTTCACAATAGTTTATATTTCAGAATAGTTTGGGGTTTTGTTATTTTCTGGTGTGGTGTGGTGGTGGTGGTGGTGGTGGTGGTGGTGGTGGTGGTGGTGGTGGTGTGTGTGTGTGTGTGTGTGTGCATCTGTGTGTCTGTGTGAGTCTCTGTGTCTGTGTGTCTCTCTCTGTGTGTTTCTATTTTAATGACAATCAATCCTGTTATTTGACAACTTCATACTGATTCATCTGATTCATCACTCCCTAAGTCGTCTCTCTCATCCTTTCCATCCCTAGAAACCCACTCCACCACTCCTTCTTACCTATCCCTTTTCTAAGCTCATGGCTTTTGCTTTTGTCTTATGATCCCTTTAGTTAACCCAGGGTCATATGTGTAACCATTGAGTTGTCAATGTCCACTGGAGCCTTATGCAGTCATGGGTTCTACATTCTCTGTCATCCACTGGAAAAGAGAGGCTTTCTGATTAAGGAACGTAGTGATGTCCATCAATGGGCATAAGAGCATACAGTAGAAGGCAGCTTGACAGCATGTCAATGTAGTTGAACAGAGGTCTTGAGTTCCCCCCACTGAGGCCTATGATATCCCCTGCCATGTGTGCTTGACCAGAATTACAGTACCAGGAATGGGTTCCCTCCTTGAAGGACAATAAAAGAACAGTTGCATACCCCTGTAACTACTGTGCCACTGTTGCTCAGGTGGGCACATCCTTTCCTGGAAGGTTGGTCTCATTAATCATAGGCTGCACAGCCAGTCAAGACTATTGATACCTTTGTTTCCCCAGCTGTCAGCATAGCACCCACAGAGACTATGAAAACTAGTCAGTAGAGAGAAAGTTTCTAGGTCAGTTAGAGTTTGTCTCTGAGCAACAAGTCATAAAGTTATTCTAAAGAAGTATGTCATCCATAGGATTTTGTTTAACGGGACAGCTTCTGAGAGCAGTTTATTCCATACAAGGTATCTCCCTTCAAAGTCTTTTATATCTTTATATTTGGTTACAGAATAGTATATTTCCATATGATTTTAAATGCTATATCTAAATTTGTTTTCTTGGTCCAATAAACATCACCTACTATTTTGAAATTATTAACCATTGAGCTGTAGGGAAGGGAATTTTCAGCTTTGGGACAATAATGGAGCAGGGAAATGGTACCCAGAATTGCATCAATGTTGAGTGTTCAGGAAATGACACTCTCAAACCTACTGCCACAATTGCTACTGATGCTTTGAAATTAAAGCTTGGGTACGAAGGAGACTGAGCTTTTGTTGAGTTGCGCTTTGAAGATGGTGGCAACTGGAGGTCCAGCCCACACTCAGCAGAATGATCACAGCTGTGTTCTGAGGTTCCTTTCATATTTTCTAGAACTCTCCTGTTGCAATTGTCTGAATGCCCTTCTCCTATCTGCCCTATAAGGAAGGGTGCTTCTAGTTCTCACAGGGTTGGGAGTACTCATTTTTCTTTCATGTGAAGCCCCAATGCAGGAGGAAAGTTGATCCTGTTTCTCTACCTACTGAGGGTTTTCCCTGATAGGCTCAATTACAAAACATGAAATCTCAGAGGACAGAAGGATTTTCTTCTCCTCTGTAGAAATAAAACTTAAAAAGGAAACAAAAAACACTACAAATGTTTTCTAGGAAGAGCAGGGAGATAATGGTATTTGTAAAGAAACTGAATTATAGGAAGCTTTTTCTTGGGAAAAAGAAAGACATAAAATTTAAGTTTCTGAATTGAAAAGAAAAGTATACATTAAGAGTATTGAGTTTAGGTATATGCATACTTACCCACTTATGTATATTTGTTCCCCCAAAATGTACCATTTCACAAGTGCCACATAAAGTTAGAAAATTATATGTATGTATGTATGTATATATATTTGTATATATGGAAAATGCTGGGGTTTTTTATTCTTTTAAGTTGTGTCCTGTTATTTTAATTTGCATTCCATTGATTTCTGCAGTTTGAATTTCCTCAAGTGTATTTATTTCTCTAGTTAACTTTTTAGTGGCCTTACCATCATACATCTGTTTCCAATCATTTTATTTGTTGCAGAAGGGGCATGTATTCATCCTTTGTGAGCGACAAAAGACATTCCCTTCATCTTCCAGTGAAACAGTGACGGTACCACCACCCTCTAGTCATCATGTCTTTTCCTGTTTTGATGCATGAATTGGCTCTCTGTGGCCCTGCCTATGTACCACACCATGCCCCTGTGCCGGTCTCTCACCTCTGTGCTCTGATACACTCTCCCACGTTCACTCATCAGAAGACTGGCAGCTTTTCTACAAAATCAGTTTCTTCTTAACTCCTCCACATTCTGCTGTGCTAGAATATTTCCCTTATGTTGTTCTTGTATGCATTGTTTTATCTCAGACTTATACCAATAATGTCTTATTATCTCTGTTTTCTCTCCTATTTCACAGAGATAAATTTTAAATAATTGATGCTTCCTCTGCTTGTTGTAGTCATCTTTCTTTTTCTCCCAAAATCATTCTCTTTAAGCAGCTGTTGCATGCGTTTATTTAACCTTTTTTTTCTTTAAGGTTTATCGTATCTTTCTAACAAAACTCATTAAGCAACTGTAAAATCTTTCTTCCGGTGCCAACTGTATAGTATTTTCCAAATAACAAATACTTGTCATTTTTCCCCTAGAGGAATTCTATGACACCAACTGACTTTTCAAACGTCAATTCTGACAGTGTCTACCCAGAAAGTCTACCTCTGTGCCCCAGCTAAGAGCCCAAGCCCATAAGCTTGTTCTACCACAGAGAGCAGTCATAAGCCCCAGGGACACTGCCACTTGTGACTACATAACCTTTGTCCAGATTCATTAATGTTCTAGAACAACTGGCAGAAAACTATTCATTTACCAGTAGTGATTATTAGAGAGAATACAGTTCAGGAAGAGTCAAGTGGAAGACAGGCATGGGTCACGGGACTGGGGAAGGTGAAGAGTTTCCACACCCTCCCTGCAGGAACTCTCAACACTCCACACAGTCACCAACACAGAAGTTTCTGCAACTTCTTCAGTGAGGTGAAAATGCAGAGATTATTGGCGTGTTCTTGCCACCGATGGTTGAGCTCTGTCTTCATTCTCCTTCACCTCACTGAAGTTGGAGAGCGAAGCTGGAAGTCTCATGCTCTAATCCAGCCTTGGCCTTTCTGATGATCAGTCCTCATGCCCAAACTACATAGAAAGTAGAGGCTTTTCACAGGACACACTTATCACCCAGGAGAATGCAGAAGTTTTTAAAGCTCTGTGCAACTAAATAGGAACAAAACCCTACGTGGCCTACACAAATAATAATATTAGCCAAAAATTTTGTCACTTCTGATGAATTTGTTTGGACTTGTGATTTTGGAGCTTCTAGTTCATAGTGGTTGGCTCTCTTGATTCTGGTCCCCTGTTGAGGCAAAACATTGTGCAGTATAAATATACAGCAGAGGCCACTTACTTCATGGTTTAAAAGAAGCAGAGAGAGAAGAGAGCGGGGTTCAGATATGAACTTCAGAGGCCCTGAGTGATGTTTCTTCAAGGTAGGTCCCACACCAAATGTCTCCATCACTGGGAACCAAACCTTCAACACATGAATATGTACAAAAATATATTACAAATGCATGTATGTTATGCATATATTATTTATTTTATACAACAATGTCCTTACACAAAAGATGTTTTATTTTTATTTCTCAGGCTTCTAGATATCCACACAGATAGTTTCTGTGAGTCTTCTCCCTGGCATGGGGCGATTCTTTAAAACATGAACCCAAGCAAGACATCCCATAACCAGCCTGTATGGAAAGGGAGCTATGGCAAATTGTTACAAGAAAAACTCAACTCCCCAGCATCCAGTAAAGTCTTTGTACTGAAAGGAGGCCATTGATGGTTGTATGTATGCTTCACTTAGAAATCACTGTCATGTAAAATAGAAATTACAGAACCTGGTAACTTGGTAAATAAGAATTACATATATAAAAAAGAAGAAGAAATTACAATTGGTCTCAAGATTTCTAACTTGAACATCCATATGATGGATGTTGCCTTTAACAAAAATAGGAACAGACAAATAATTAGAGAAAGATGTATTTGGGTTGTGGGTATGGCTAGGCCCTACTTTGTACATATAGCATTAAGAATCTCAGTGTGCGATTAAAATATAGGTTTCAAGGCCAAAAGCGGTAAGAGAAGCTGGGGAGAAAGAGAACTTTCAGGCTGAGTGCAGGAGGAAGAGAAGCCGTGTGATCAGACAAGGACAGGGAGGGGAGATGAGAGAAATGCCGAAGCGGAGAGCCAGAGAAAGCTAAGCGGGTGGAGGCTGAGGAAGATAGGCATTTATGGAGCTAAAGTAAAGGTAGATGCGGCACAAGTAATGCAGTAGCATTGGCTAATATGTGCAGAAATTGAGCAATTACTAGAGGCACTTTAAATTCATTATCTCATTAAGCCTCCCAGACTAAGAGGTGGGCATTACTACATTCATTCTGAAAATGAGTATGTGGAGAATTTGAATAGCCATGGGTGGGTCCCACAGTCAGACAGTAAACTAGCAAATCAGCCATGATCCAAGCACTTCTAATTTTAACCTGGAACCATGATAACACGTTTAAAAGGCAGCAAAGGCACAAAACCACCCAGGCTGTGATATGTTCAGAGCTTGACACGAACCTTACCTGAAGGCTAGCTGTGTGCAGTAAAGGAGGCACGGCCGACTATGTGGTGAAGACCCAGGACATGTGTCTTGGAGGTATAAAAAATGAAACAGACAAGGGGAGTCAATCCATAAGTGTGCATCCCAGCCCTCCTACCACTGTGGACAAGTGAACCTTCATCCAGGAGGAAAATTCTAGATAGAAGATAAGTTGTCTCAGAGTTGTCCCTAAGTGGAAGGGTGAAGGTAACTGGAGCACACACACAACTACTACTCCATTCAGTTGCTGGTTTGGGTCTGTCTCAATGGATGTTAAATCATGCAGAGACTCCCACCATGATGAGGAGAGAGGCCGCAAGCAGGGCTAGCAGCTCAGCAGCACACCATAGCTGTCACCCAGGCAGAGGGATGTGAGTGGCTCCTGTCAGGGTCTGTGGTGCAGATACTGCCGCAGCCTATCTAGACTGTTAACTGTATCAGAGGCCCTTCGTGGTAAAAATGGTGCATCTCACTGGACTACAGCAGCCAGAAGTTGGCTTGACGTGGTTTCCCATGACGTGCTGGAGGGTAAAATGTTGAATGGACTTTGCATCTAGAAAGATGGAACATTACTTACCAGGCTGTGTTTCTTATTTCTCTTGTAACCTGTAAGTAAAGCACTGAGATACTTTATATACATTGTAAGAAATATAAGAAGACTCTAAATAATGGAGAGAGAATGCAGCGCAGTAAAGGAACTTAGGACCAAATGTAAGACACAGAGATTAACTCCCTGGATTTGCTTTCTCCTCATATGACCTAGACATGGGCTTGAATAAATATAAAATGAAAAAGTCAATGACTTCAAGCAAAATGCCCCCCAAAATGACCAAGAAAGGTAAAGACTCTCAAGTCAGAAAATGTTTAGATACCATAGGAGAACCAGCATCTTGAGGTCCATCCACACAAGCAAAAACTGAATGGGAACCTAGAATTCTACCCACACCAGGTCACAAGGAACACCTAAAATTTCCTGCCATTGTGATATCAATGAAGAACAATAAGGAGATGAGATTTCAAACCCTAGTAGAGGGAAACAAAGTAATTCTTCTTATGGTGCCCATGGTAATGTGGTGTGGAGTTCAAATGTCCACCATTGTTATCTGCAGTGGGGCAACTCTCCCTTGTTGCTTGAGTGACACTAGAAGAAGCCTAATGGGAAGTGGTAACAGCAGGATCTCCCATTAGCAGGTAGGTACCCTCACCCACCCTCACTTGATGGAGAGTGTATAACAGTTAGAGCATGCAAAATCAGCGCTACAGAGACATGATAGATGAACTCAAGTAGCAGTCCAAAGGCGCCACAGTAACCTGTAAGAAGACAAGAAGGTAAATAAAAAATGAAAAACACAAGAAAAATTAATGACTCACATAAGCACTAACATATCTTTAAAAAATAACGAACCGGAAGAATAAGATAAGATCAAACGTTAGAACTCAACGTGATGGTTCCTATTGATGTTGTAACGTATTATCGCAACTTCACAGACTTGAAATAACATAGTTTATTCTCTTATTAGTCTAGAGGCCAAGTCCTTCATCAGTTTTGCTGGGCTAAAGTGAAAAATAGCTCAGTGGAGAAGTGTCCCCAAAGGAGGCTGTTGGAGAGAATCTGTGTCTTATTTTACATAGTTTTTACTTTGAATGTTTTGACTTGTGTTGTGCATGTTCACGTGTGTGTGAGAAAGTGCATGGAAGTGTGTACTTCTGTATAGAAGCCTGAGATTAATCTCAGTAGTCTTCCTTGATTGCTTCCCACCTTATTCATTGAGACAAGGTCTATTAATTGAACACAGAACTGGTCAATATGACTAGTCTAACTAACTAGCATCTAAATTCTGGGAGTTCCCTGTCTCAGCCTTCTTAACACTGGAATTACAAGTGAGCTAACATGCCCACCCAGTACTTACATACATGCTAGGGATTCCAGCTCATTGTCCTCATTCTTGCATTGTATAATGTAAATTAGCTTGGTAAACTGCCATGTGATGTCTGAACTCACTGAGAATGTGCCCCCTACAACAGACTGAAATGTTTATGTCAAGCATCCTCTGAAACTCCCTGTCCTGGGTCAGGCTGGCCCCTGACACTGTAAGTGAGAGAAGAAGAAAGTACAAACAGCCAAGGGTATTAAAATACTGTGCCTTGAGAACAACTGGAAGTGAACCATTTCCAACAGATATACCCTTGTTTAATCCCATGATATAAAAATGGCTGCCTGTCTGTCATGGGAACAGGAAGCTGGATGCTCATCCATTGAGAGAAGCTCAGCTGGAAACTCTAGGTGACCACCTCACTTTTCCCAGCCATTTTCAACTGGGTGCATGGAAGCTTGAATTAGTATTGATGATGTCACTCTTGCTTGCTCTCATTTGGTGGCTACAATTGTCCTTGCTGGATGCTGTCAAACTGTGATCAGACGATGTTTTGCTATTTGTCCACTTTTCCTATTTATTCTTTTGCTGATGCTTGCTGAATATTTAATAAATACACATGTTCAGAGTCAAGAACTGCTACCAAATGATCTTACTCCAGATGATACGGACCAAGCAGCAAGTACTTTATCCACTGACCCATCTGCCGCCTGCATTCCTTGAATCTGAATCGCAGCCTCTTCCTACTCCTCAACAGCTGGCAGCCTTTATCTTCAAATTCCTCTCTGGTTCTTTTACCTAACTTTCTCTTTTCTATCAAAACTCTCTGTCTTTGCCTTATACGACTCGTGATCATATTTGGGGTTTAACTGGAAATGGAAGATCATCTTCTGTCACCGCAAGCTCTTTAGTTACATCTACAAAGCCTCCTTTGTCATGAGTGGTAACTTGCAAAGAACCCAGTAATTTGCACATAGACCTCTCAGAACTCATTGTTCAACCCAATAGGCCCAATTATATGCTTTCCATGCAGGATCATTTAAAGTACAGCAATATAGATAGAACTTCATCATTCTTACAACTTTCCTCAAGATCCTCAGTATTAAGAGACCCCCGCCCCAGCTCTTGGTAGTTGAGTTTTTTTTCTCTTTGCTCTTTGAGAGCCCACCACCCAGCTCCCAAATAACCACAGAGACATATCCTTTCTTATAAATTTTCGGCTCTCACTTGGCTTGTTTCTAGCCAGCTTTTCTTAAGTTAGCCTGTCTCCCTTTTGCCTCTGAACTTTCATATTTCTCTATCCTATATATGCCTTTCTTTACTTCTTCATGGCTTGCTGTGTAGATGGGTGACTCCTCAATCATTTCTTCCCAGACTTCTTCTCCTGTTTATTTTTATGCCTACCAGCCCTGCCTATTCTTTCTCCTGCCTAGCTATTGGACAAGCTCTTTATTAGGTGTTTTAGGCAGGCAAAGTAACACAGCTTCTCATAGTTAAGGAAATGCAATATAAAAGAATGCAACACATCATTGCATCAGTAAACAAATGTCCCATAGCATAAACAAATGTAACACATCTTTAACTAATATTCCATAACACCCCTTTCTCCTTGAGGAAGGAATGTTCAATTCCAAGGAAATGTCTGCATAACAATATATGTAGTGGTGGTTTGAATGAGAACATCCCCCATAGGATCATATACTTTAATATTTGGTTCGCAGTTATGAAACTATTTGGGAAGGATTAGGAGGTTTGGCCTTGTTGGAGGAGGTATATGACTAGGATGGGCTTTGAGATTCCAAAAGCCTACACCATTTCCAATTAGTTCTCTCTGCCTCATAATTGTGGATAAAGATATGAACTCTCAGCTACTGATCCAGGGCCAAACCTGTTGCTGCTATGCTCCCTATTATGATGATCGTGGAGTAACCCTCTGAAACTGTAAGCACCAAATAAACTTTCTTCTGTAAGTTTCTTTGGTCAGGGTGTTTTATAACAACAAGAGAGAAGTAACTAAGGCTTAAGTAGAAAGAGAAAAGCAGGAAGTAGCATTCAGGAATTAAAACATGAGTGAGAATGAAAGGGAGTGGTTGTGGCTCAGGAAGAAAAAGCAGAAAATACATGACAGGAAACAATTGAAGGAAGTATTTACTCTGGCTTTCAGTCTGAAGGTACATAGTCCATCATGGCAGGGAAGGCAGAGGAGACCTTGAGGTAGGTTAGTCACATTTCACTCACAGTCTTCATGAGCAGACAGTAACCAAGAGTGGGAGTCAGGCTATAAAACATCAAGACCCACACTCTCTGGCCCATTGTTCCTGGCAAAAGCTCCATGGCAAAAGCTCCACCCTGTTCAGGTTTCACAAGCTTCCCAAACATTCCCATCACCAGAGCAGCAAACCTTCAAGCACATGAGACCATGGGGGTGCATTTTTTATTCAGACCATATCATTCTACTTCCAACACTCATAAGCTCATAATCATCTCAGGATACAGGAAGTAAGACTCTATGATTCTTTCAACCTTGCATCTTTCATGCTTACAAAATCAGCACCACATCAATGAGGCTGTTAAGTCCTGCTGCCAGCTTGGGGTGGATACTGACCCTAGTGGATTACAGTTGCAACAGCTTCAGTGTGCTAATCCTGAGAAAACGCTTCCCTAGACATTTATTTTCCAAAAGCAGGGATCTCATCCAGAATTCTGAGTTGAGGCTCTGTCTTCTTAAAAAAATTTTCATTTTCATAAGCTGTAGCCTTTTATGTAATGGGGGTCTTACTCTCAGAGGACCTTTCCCATTGTCCTGGCATAGAGGAGATTCTCTTTAACAACTACAGGCTCTTTTCAACACACACTGTGACTGCAATTCTGATGTGCTTGAGCTCTTTCTTTGATAAACCACTTCCATTACATCTTTCCGTCCCCACGTGCTGCTGTTTTCAGTGTAGATCTGTGTAAGAGTGGCGAGCAATAGCCATGTAATACTGAGTCCTGTCCTGCCTTGGAATTCCTTCTACCAAGCACATTAGTCTATTGCTTATAAATTCACCCTCTAGTTCTCAGGACATGGTCAGAATGTAGCCAACCTCTTTGCCAGAATATCCTATGAATGACTTACAGCCTTGTAACCAATAGAGCCCTTGTTCACCTCTGAGACTCCAAAAGTTTAGCTTCCACATTTTCATGTCTTTCAGCCTTCTGGTCTTCCATACTCCCACAATAACAGTGTATTAAGTTCTGTTGTGACTTTTGGCAAATTTTCTAGCCCAACATTTCAAAATTTTCCATATTCTACCTACAAACTAGTTCCAAAACCCTAAGAACCACACAGTTGGGGCTGTCATAGCAAAAGTCCCACTTTGAGATACCAGTCTTCTTCCTTAATTATTGTTCTTGTGATAAAATAGCTGGCAAAAATAATTTAATGAAGAATTCATTTCTTTTGGCTTAAGTTTGGAGAAGATACATCCTAACATACCAAGGAAGGCATGGTGGCAGGAACTGGAGGCTAGCTGGTCACACCTGATGGTCAGTCAGGAAAAGAGTGATGAAGAGGCAAGGCTGACTAAACCTTTAAGGCCTGCCCACAATGGCCCACTTCCTCCAACATGACTCAGCTCCTCCAGGTTCTGCAACCTTTCTGAACAGTCACACTAGTATATGGGTGACATTTCAGATTCAAACCTTGCAGCTAGAACGAGACAAAGGACAGGCCAATACTGACTAGTATGGGGCCACCTGAGCGAGTGAAGAGCAAGACTCATGGAGAGATCTTTGCTTTCAGTTTGCCTCTTTAATAACAGAAAATGTAACCATGTGGATACACACATTTCTATGGTATATTACCTATTCAAGGGAGAAAAGGTGTTGATCTGGAGCCCTGTTTTTTGGGGGGAGCACTTAATGACTTTATAATCTCAAGGAAATTATTTGAAACTTCTTCGGGTCTAATTCCTCATTGCTTGGGCAGAAATATTGCATGGGAGACAGCAACACATCCTTAGAATGATTTGAAACATGGAAAATGTTACATTAATATGAACAGAAGCGCCAGCACTTCGTGCAGACCAAATTCCCTTCTTGACTTGCATATCCCTGAAATTGTAACTTATTTTACAGAGTGGAACATTTTCTTCTACTAAATCGCCTAGATGTAGTTCAAAAAAATGCAAATAAACATGAATTTTGGTTATATTCCAGAATCTGATTCTTTCTCAGAGTTGATGTAGGCGAATACAAGCCAGAAACACATGACCCTCTTAGCAGGTGAGGCTGAACTCACGGATAACACAGGGTGTGTGAGTGGTCATGGAACACAGGGGGAGGTGGCTGGCTTTAAAGCTGCCTTATCAAATTATAACCTGTCCAAAGAGGGTTGGCTGTCCCAGAGAACACCATAAATTGCTGGAACCCAATCACCCATCATTCATTCATACTGGAACCTAAAGATGAAAGGGAAAAACAAGACACTTTCCTGTGGGAAGACTGCAAAACCAAAACTTTGCTTTAGGTTCAGCTTTCTCAACAGCTTCAGGAGAAACTACAGGATAGCTTTGCTTACTTACAGAGTACCCTTCTAGTTTTCAAATGTCGAAAAGCTTCATGGAATGTCTCAGGGTAGAAAAGGGACGCTATCGAAGAGACAAAGGGAAGCTGATTATTCTTTTTTTAGCCATATAGCAGCATGTGCCACAACTTCAAGGGGATTGTGTGTAAAATAAAAGACAGAGACAAACCGATTTTCACCTGTACTTCCATTGTGATTTCTGATTTGAATACTCATGGGAAATTGGTCTAATAGGCAATACAACTACCTTTTTGAAACTTGTCTTCTATTGTGAGGAATGCCCTGCCTTTGTAGCTATGTGTTCTACCAACAAGCAATTCTCCTCAATCAACCTCCCCAGACTAGAGTCAAATGAATCAGTCCAAGACTTTGACACACTCACTAAACGTAACACATATCACTATGTGCATCTCGGTAAAGTTCCTGTCCTGATGGTCTTAAATGCTCTATCCATCTTACATCTGCAAGTACCTAACAGCCATATCAGCGTCCTGGGTGTCCCGCATAATTTAAAAGCCAGTTCAGACAAAGTGGTCCACAAATGGTATGTGCTACTCAGTTGGGCATAAACTTCACGGCTGGAGAAGAAGTGACATCTTCAAGTTAAGCAACAAAACACAGCACTCAATATGTTGAACCAGTGTTGTAAGACCCAAAACTGTGTGCTACAAAAAGTCCCCCAGGAGGCATCATTCATGTCCGTGTGCTGCCAATGTCATGCCTATCAGAAAACTACATCAAGAGCACCAGTACACTGGCAAGATGTGCAAATTCTAGTCATCAATTAATTCAGAGGCACCGGTACATTATATTAATCTCTCCGTAGTTCTAGCACATCAGATTAGCAAATTTGTTTTAAACTAATATGCAATAAAGATCTTATCATTTTTATTAAGTATGAGAAAATCTTGACTTTTCTTAGGCTGAGTGGTGGTATCCTTCATCCTTGTGTGTCAGTTAGTGATAGAGGAGAAACCTGTGACCTGTGCTATGCTCCATTTGCTAGTAATGAAGACATGAAACGTATCTCAACTGCTGTAGAAAGTCTGGTGTCATGCACAGGGTGGTGGCACATGCCTCTCATGGTAGCTGTAGGTTGAAGCATGGAAGCTGGCTTTTTACCTTCCTATTGTATTGCTCTCTGGCTTCCAAGCCAATCTGTGTATTAGTGTTATTTTACCACTGCTAGGTATGATTGTGGTGTTTTCACCCATTATTAACAAAATCTATTTAAAAATCAAAGAAATATCTCTTTCATTATAAAGAAGTATGGGTACATTTCTCACTGTGGTAAGTGGGATGTCTGTTTGTGTGGCTGCCGCCATTGCTATGCTCCAGCTATGATTGCTTCCACTTCCCAGAGAAGGCTAGAGTGATTAGAAGGCTCAACCAATCCCCCAGCACAGCTCCTCTGTAGACCTTTAGATCCAGATGGTGTGTGGACTGTTCTGCACTGGCCAGGATCACTGGTTCCCTCTGGATGAAGAGGCTTCCCTGGGTCCAAGGGTGGTAGGGTATGTGTTTAAAATCCAAGAATTTGCCAGATCAATGTGAGTTTGTGGACAGCCTGGTCTATATACCCAACCTCGTCTACAATGCCAATCAGGATGAGATCCTGCCTCAAAAAATAAAAAGAAAAGTTAGAGATAAGGTTCAGGGCTTAAGCACCCATATTGCTCTAGCAAAGGACCTGAGTTCGGTTCCCAGCACCCACTTTGGGTAACCCGCAGCTCCAGGAAATCTAACACCCTCTTATGGACTCTCCAGGCAATGCACTCACATGAACAAACACACACTTGAGTACACGATATATATATAATTAAAAACAAATACAAAAAACTCAACATGCCTTTCTGATGCCAGGACACCACACTGAGCTTTTAAAATCTCCACCCTCTGGATTCCTTTCCATTTTCTTCTCCATACTCACCCCTGGTCATTCCTAGAAGCATGTACCTTACTTCTCCTCACCCTTGTTTGTCGCTTTTGTCAACTGCCCTTACCATGGCAAAAATAGTCACCACTCACTTTTTCTCATGCCAGTGCCCAAACCACTTGGAATTCTGCTAGTCTCGCTGTCAAGATGTATTTAGAATTTGTTCCAGATGTGGTATGTATTATACCAGCATGTATTATAATCCCAGTACTCAAGAAGTTGAGGGAGTAGGATAATGTGTTTCTGGCCAGCCAGGCCATGTATTCAAACCCTATCTCAAAAAACAAAAAAACAGACATGGGCCAGACATTGGTGGCACATGCCTTTAATCCCAACACTCGGAAGGCAGAGGCAGGAGGATCTCTGTGAGTTTGAGGCCAGCCTGGTCTACAAGAGCTAGTTTCAGGACAGCCTCCAAAGCCACAGAGAAAACCCTGTCTCAAAAACAAACAAACAAAAAACCCAGACATTTCTTCACTTCCCTCATGGTCAGCAATATCATATTTTTCTTCATCACTACATTGGCCACACAATGAAATAGATACCTGGATTCTGCACCCACATCTACTTCTAGAAGACTTTTGGAGCAGAAGTCTAGCCAAACCGTTGCATACCTCCCCTTTCACTCAAAGTAAAAAGCAAAGCTTGGGCCCTTGCCTTCATTTATAATGGAGTCGCATGCTCATGAATCCATTGCAAGCTGAAAACACTAAGTTAGAAAACACTAAACCCAGGCTACAGAACATTAGGAAACACTAAACCCAAGCTAACAAACATTCTAATTTGGTCTGGCCTACTTTAAATATGCTCAGAAGGCATACATTAGCCTATAGTTAGACAAGATCATCTCATGCCTAGTATTTAAAATAGATAAGAGTAACTCAGAATATTGGTGGGGTGGGTTATACTTTCACAATGTGGTAAAGTCAAAAAATGCAAAGTTTAGCCATTGTCAGTTGAGGACGGTCCACACATAACTGTAGAAGGAGTTTCTGTCCCGCCTGGTCCCACAGCCTTTTAGTCCCAAATAAACACACTGTTTGGCCTATGGCTCAGGCTTCGTATTGGCTAGCTCTCTCTTAATTATTAACCTGTTTCTATTAAACTATGTATTACCATGAGGCTGTGGCTTACTCATAGTGCTCCAGCATGTTACTTCTTTGGCAGCTACACGGCATCTCTCTCGTGACTCTACACGTTCCTTTTCCAGGTCTTCTCCTAATCTGGTAGCCCTGCCTATACTTCCTGACTGGCTAAATCCTGTCTGTCCATTGGCTGTAACATCTTTGTTCATCAACCAATAAGAGAACACATATTCACAGCGTTCCAGAAGGACCTCCCCCATCTCGTGGCAAAGGCTGCCAGCGTTCCTGTGAGTCTGCCAGTCATTTCTGTCTCTCCAGAAAATTCCTTGGATCTTGTCTACCGCCCTCTCCATCACTCATTCCGTACTATCCCTGAAAGCCTCCCTGCTCATGCTCCTGGGCATCACTTACCCCAGAGTATTTACTCTGGCAGATCGCTGTGTGGAGTAGCACCCCATCCCCCTTCCAGAAGATCTCTTCATGATTAACCCCCACTCATATGTCCCTGTCCTGATGATGCCTATGCAACCAAGTGATGTTGCCAACGTCTCTGCTTCCCTAACTTCATGTCACTGCCACCCCTGCCCTTTCCTATTTTTTGTTTCCTCACACCCTGCTTTGCTTTGGCTTTTGCCATAGCATCCATCATCATCTCACGTATTATTTAATTGACTTGTCTCCCTCTGCCAAGTGCAAGCCCCAATTGGCAGGGGTCTCATTTTCTTCACTACACCCTGTAAGCACTTGGAACAGCGCTCCGTATACAGTAGAAGTAAATAAATGTTTGCTAAGTAAACGATTGCCCTAAGCATGTTCACCACCCATAGAAGCTAATTGAGAACATGATGTTTTCACTCTGTGTTTTTCTAACAATTAAAGTAATGCAAACAAATTTGAAAACTTTGAAAATATGTCACATATTAATGTGAAGAAATAAACAAAACTCACTAATACATTCACGAATCAATAAAAATGGCTGTTTTAAACATACTTTCTATAAATATTTAGGTTATAAGTAGTATTGTGCTTATTGAGTTTTGCTGAATATATCAAAGTCATTTCTATGACATTGAACATATATCTAAACATTTTTTCCAATAAGCATACTACTACCCCACTGTGCAAACTACTACCTTTTGATTGATTATGTTCAATTACGTTATTTCTACAGAGTTGCTTGGTACCACCATCAGCAACATTTTGTACATGTTTTCTGAATGTCTCCAAACTCACTCACTGAGAGCACAGAAGAGGCAACTCCAGAACAAAAGTTCCAAAAAAATGTAACCATAGAACCAATTTCATTTAGGATCGAATGATCCATCTTCCTGATGTGTATTTGAAAGAACTGAAGAATTGAAGATACGACCCTGAAGACATATTTGCACATCCATGTCCCTTGCAACATGTGATTCAATAGCCAAGAAATAGAACAAAAAAAATGCCCCATTCTGAAGACAGGATAAAAAGAGTCTTGGATGAAGTAAACAGAGCTTCATTCAGCCTTGGAGAAGTAAATCCTCTCTTTAGCTTCCACATGGATAGACCCTGGCAATATTATGCTAAGAGATATTCCACTTGGGAGGGGGAATCAGAAGTACTCACCGTTCAGTTCCTCATTGACTGCATAGGGAGTTCAAGGCCAGCCTGGGCTGTATGAGATTCTGTCTCAACAAGGTGAAACACAGGTAGAATCATGGTGGCCACAGGCTTGGGAGGAAGGATGGGGAGATGTTGTCAGTGGGTATGAAGTATGAGTTTTGTGTGGCGAGAAACACTATAAGCCTGTTGCATAATGATGTGAACTAATCACTCAACTTTATTGAAAAGCACCCCTGCCAAAATGATTAAAATGGTGACTGCTACATTATATGATGGTTACCACAAGTTAAATAAACTTACCTTAAAAGTCCTTCAGTCATTGCCAGTTTCACCAGATTTAAACTATAATCTCAAAAGTGCCGATAAAAACAGACATATCTTCTACCTGCCATTCATTATTTACATGTCTTCTGTCTTTTCCTTTCCTTAACCAATTATCTATTGATGTCTTCATCATTTTTATTGATTTAGATGAGCTCTTTCATATGTAGAGGCATTGAACTTTACTCTTTACATTTGTTAAAAGTATTTTCCATCAGGCTGTCTTTTCTTGACCTATTTTGCAACAGTATTTTTTCCATCATGAAATTTAAATGTTTTAAGTTTTTTCCTTAGTGTCATGGATAATCTTGGCTGTCAACTCGATTACATATGGAATCATCAAAAACCCAAATTATTGGCCACTTCCATGAGGGATATTCTTAATCTGATAATTTGAAAACAGAAGACCGATCCTAAATCTGAGCCACACCTCATGGCGGTAGCCGCATAAAAGGACATGGAGGAAGGGAACTGTTTTGGTCTTCTTTCCCTCACTCTTGCTGGCAAGTCCATCTATACACATTCTTGCTAAGATATTCCTTTGCCAGTAGCAGAACCAACATCTTCAGAATCCTAATGTACCCTGAAGACCAGCAACTCTCAAGGAATCTCCAGGACTCCAGTCCCAGACAGGAACTACCGAGACATCCAGGGTCATGGACTGAACAACTACAGGACTTGTGACCTTTCTGTCATGAGGTAGACATTGTTGGACTGCTGGAAACATAACCTGTCAGTCAAATAAGATATGTGTGCTTGCTCTGACCCTGAACTCTTGGGGGGAGGGTCTAGGCCCTGCCCTGGATGAAATGACAGACTATGGACACCCCCATGTAGGGCCTCATCCTCCCTAGGGAAATGAGGGAGTATTGGGGGGGTTGGTAGGAGGGCACAGGAGGAGGGGAGGGAAACAGAGAGGGACCTGGAATTGACATGTGAAGCAACCTTGTTTCTAATTTAAATTTAAATTTAAAAATTATATATATGAATGTAACCCTCAAGGGATAGAGAGATGTCTCAATGGTTAAGAGCACTGGCTGCTCTTCTAGGGGCCCTAGAGTTCATCCCCCCCCCCAAAAAGATATGTGTGCTTGTGTGTGTGTGTGTGTGTACATATGTATGTATGTATGTATGTATGTATGTATGTATTCATTTTACATTTCTGTTTCTTTAGAAAACCCTGGCTAATACATTTAGTATTCATTGCTGGTGGTAGTGGAAATTAGTACAGCCATTGCAAATATCAGTTTGGATGTTTACTCAAAATGTAAAAAGAGAACTACCATGTGACACAGATGTACTACTCCTAACATACACCCAAAGGTCTCCATACCCTACCATAGAGATTCCTGCACATCCACACTTATTGCTGTGCTGTTCATGGTAGCAAAGAAGGGAAGCACGCCTCAACAGATAATGGATAATAAAAATGTGGTGCATACACACAATGGAATTTTATTCAACTTTATAGTTGATTCTATTCATATTTTGAGCTCTTCATCTGCTGTTGAAAGTTCACTATAAGTTTTCCCAATTTTACTGCTTTTTGTCTTCTAGAATTTATTCATTAATTCGAGCTGAGTAGAGATGCCAATGTTATTTTTTCCCAAAAGGTATTTAATTGTCTGGGTATATTCTATCAGTCTTTTTCTGCTTGACTTGGGATGCCATCTTTGTCACCCATCAAGTCTGTATGTGTAAATGTCACTTTAATATCTGAAGAATCCACTATGGTTCTACATGAGATCTGTAACCTTAGCAGTTACTGTCTGGAATTGCAATCATTTGTTTATGAGCTTTCTAATTTTCTTCTTTTCCTGGATCCACCATGGTGCTTGGTTCAAGGTAGCTTGTAAAGACTTTTGTGAGTGAATGGCAGTTGTCTTTAAAGTCATAAGCATCACATGGAGACAGGGAAGATGGCTTAGTGGGTAAGTTGCTTGTTGTGCAAGTAGAATGGCCTGATTTCAGATCCCCACCACCGATGTAAAAGTCAGACACAACACAACAGTCTGCAGCCCCAGCACTGGGGTGAATAAGGGGTGGAGAACAGGAGCATGGGCTGAGTCTGGACAGAGGCTAAGAGATACCACAGCTTACCAACCAAAGAGCCTAGTCAATTGGTGGGCTCCAATTTCACTGAGAGAGCCTGTGGAAAAAAAGCAAGGTAGAGGAAAACACCATACAAAAATGTTTACAACCGCATACACCACACACATAAAACTCAGCAATCTGAACCAATCAATCAATTAATTAATACACAGGTAGACTGTGAGATGGAAGAATTGGCCAACACTTACCACCATTTCTGGTTTTGAGGATTGTGAAAGTAGTTTTTAAAA